GAAATACTGTACCTTCAGAACGGCATAGCTTTCACTTGTTGTGCTATATCTTTCAAAACTATCGATCGATTCTTGCTCAAAAACTCTCAAAGCGGCGGTTTAAATGTTAAAGCCCGTGGCTGGTTGAAATCGTCTCTTGGTTGTTTCAAACGATTTAGGATGGATCGAATCGACTTTGGATCGATTACTAGTAATATTTTATCAGCTTGTGGTATGAACGAAACGTTTTTCTTCTCGATAAAATTCACTCAACAAATTTAGAAAGATTTACTTGACTTTTCGTATGTGGAACGAACTGACTTTTTTGTGGAACGAACTGACTATTTTATGGAACGATCTGACTATTGATTGGAACGATCTGACCAGGGAACGAAATGACCGGTTACCGTCATGCACCTAGCCGACTACCGATGAACAAATTAAAATCTTTGTTACAGAAAACACGGAAAGTGACACTTTTTGTATGGAAGAGTATTCGGAAAAATACACCATTGTCGTCTGAAATTCATTGTTACGTTAAAAATAGAAAAGGTTTACACTTAGGGCCTGTTTGCATGGAGCGGGGGACCCCGGTCTAGTAGGGTCGGTTTCTTTTGTTTTCACGCTCTGGGGGACACAAAACAAAAGAAACCTACCCCACTAGACCGGGGTCCCCCACTCCATGTAAACAGGGTCTTAAAAAGGTACGGAAGTAACTGTAACAGTGTGAGGTTACTTAAGGGGCAACTCCAAAACTAGTTCGTAAACGAGGGAAGGTGTATCTGTCGTCTAAGCATCAGAGCACAGGCGATTTAGGTGGAATGAGATATCCAAATAGGCTTTTAAGTAAGAATTTGCCCCTCTGTACATGCAATTATCCATTTTATAGTGTTTACAAAAGTTTGAATCACCGGGTTAATTTTGGCCAATTTAAGCTTTTTACTGATATAGAGAAGAATCCAGGACCTTCAGTTTATGTAGATGCTACAAAAACAATTAATGCTCCATACTGTCAAGGAAATGTTACAGTATTTGGGGAAAATGCTGGATGACAGTGTGTCGCAATGAGTCTGTGCGCTTTAATTTACATTAAGATAACAGAGATTACTTCAGTTGATGATCTGACTCAAATAATGATTGTTGGTATTCAATTATATTCTAGTCTGTGACTGCTTGCAAGACAATCTGTGTCAATGTTAACAGCATTGCCAGGAATGGTTACAGTGTTTAAAGGCAATTTTTCCACCTTGAATACAGTGACAGTTATATTTGTAACATCCATCACTTCTGTATATGCCACTCACAGGTTGCAGCATTTGAAACACTCTTGGCACTGAACTACAACTCATTCATTTTAACGGTAGCAATTATTGGTGTTGGTATCTACAGCATTGAGGCTGGGGGATATAATGTATTTGATTCTCATGCTAGAGATATGTATCCGGCATAACAGTCATAGTGAAGGGACATGTGTATTGTTGGAAATACCATCCATGCATAAATTAGTACGATATTTTTAGACTCTACATAGGAATGAGGATATATATGAACTTAAAGGTGTACATATTGCCACCTTTGAACCTCATCTTTTCTCAAGCAATGTTGATCATTGTAGTATATCAAATGTTAATAGTTACCAATGTTCCTGTAAACAGTGCTACCCTATAGCAGTTTATGCAATGTGTTACTCACTTATTAATCCTTGTGGACAATGGACTTAAGGAACTTTATTTGTCCTTGTAAGTAACCGGAATACACTGTACAAAGTGATGGGTTTGAAAACACATCTGTCAGTATCAGTGGAGCTGAGATAAACCTTACTCTCCGGGCTGTAACCACTTATGTGCTATGTTGCGATTTGGCTTCAAGCTTGTCTGCATTGAAAATGTCTGCAATTTTCAAACATTGTCATGAAATGACACTATTTTTGTTGTGGATTGGGACATACTGTATAAGCTGTGTGGTTCAGCAAACAAGTGGAGTAAAGGATTTGTCTTCTCTGGTAAGATATGTGTTCAAAGTATCGTACCCGTAGTACGACCACGCCCAAATATACGCTCACACAGCGTCTTGTTTTTCCTCGTATAAATGGCCCTATTGTCTTTGTGCAGAATTTTGTGACTTTAAATTCATCACAAAACAGTTCGAAAGGAGGGCTCACTCGTGAAATGTTTTTTAACACTCGAAGAGAAATTTCGTGTCTCTACGCGGCCACGTAATATCCTCTATTTATTCCTCGAGTAAATTTTAATTTAATTTAATTTTAATTTTAATTTAATTTACTCGTCTTTAAAAGACTAAACTCGAAGTGATTTCAAGATATCCCGATCCGAAGTAGTCCGGTCTCATTCCGTAAAATAGCCGAAGTGACGAAACTCTGGAAACTGCCTTTTAGTAATTGAGAAGTTATCAGGAATATTTCTTTGTTCTTTTTCCCTGCGATCTCTCCTTGGTGGCTTTGATATTAGTAAACAAAGAAAATATTTTAAAAGGAATTATTCGCAGTTGATGATTTTACGCCAGTATTCGTCCTCGCTTTAGGCGTTTCAGAGACCTGATATTTATGCGCTTACGATCTACTCCATGCCTTATAGTTTAAACAGTCGGTGATTCAGTAATGGTTGATACTTAAGATCAGGGCGATCGATGGCCGTAGATTAGGAATAAAGGGTTGCTAACTAAGGATGAATTGACCTAAGGCACAATTTCCGAAGTGAAAGATGCTACATTCACAAAGCGAGCGTCTCGGGACGTGACCTTCACGCGCGCCCGCGTATTTCCCTCACTTTCCACTGAAAGAGAAGAAAACACCTAAAAAATCTTTGAACATTGAATCTGAGACTGTGCTGTTTTGTGTGGTTTTCAGGCTTTTGAGTCTTAAACAGGGTATGCAATTTTACCATTTAGCATCTAGAACAGGGTGTACTTTTGGACCAGAAACCCTTTTGCGTACGTTTTGAGTAAGAGTGTCAAGGTTACAAGCGTACAGAGATATGAAAGTTTTCAAACTGATATCATTGAATAATTTTTTTTTGGAAAAAACGTGTTGGTCACCAACAAGTTTTTTCCAGAGTCCCATTCAGGTATATTGAATAGTGCTTTGTTACTTGAACTAAAATAGCTTCAGAGTAATAAAGCGAGACTTCTAAGAACTGAGGTCAACCGAGGATACCTCCATTTAAGGGACGAAAACTTTACCCCTCCCCCCCACCCCTTAAGTGCTCCTTTTGAAGTAACGCCTCTATTCAAGAGACACCTCCTTTCAAAGTACACAAACGTCGTTTCCAAAACCAAAAAATGGGTATACTCTTTGTATCAGTTACCTACAAAAGATACGAACAACAAGGAATGCAACATTGTGTAAAACTCTTAAGGTGTCAAACGTCAGTTCCAGATAAGGAAACGAGTGATTTGTCTTGCCGAAGACTAGCGCGGGTACCAGAGGTTTTTCTCGCGTGCGGCGGGAATTTTTCGGTGTTGGCCGAAGGTCGACACATCTTGGGCCATAGACCGAATCCACGAGCGGCGGCTCACTATAAAGACTTGACAGAAACCGGAAACCGCGCTAGAAAAGTCTCTGGCACCCAGGGTAGACGGGAACACAAGTCCCGGGCGGGGGGGGGGG